AAGGAAAAAAAGAAAGAAAAAGATAAAAGCAGTGGCAGCAGCAGAAGAAAGAAGAAGAAGGAAGAAGGATGAAAGAAGAAGGAAGAAGAAGGACGAATTTTTTTTTTTTTTTGGTTTTTGGGTCACACCCAGCATAACTTCTAATTCACATAAACACATTTCATGTGCTAAACATCACTGTGGACGACCTAAGCTTAAGGTTTATTCTTTGATGTTTATGATGCTGTGGGGGCATTAGACGCAAAATAGCAAATTTTGTATTAAGTATTTTAACAAATACTTAAGTAATTAAGTTCTCTAGGACAGGGATTCATGACTTCAGCACTACTACCACATGGGGGCTGGATAATTGGGGGGGGGGGGCGCTGTCCAGTACATTGTAGATATTCTGCAGTGTATCTGGAGGCCTCTGCTTACTAGATACCAACAGCATCATTACAGATCTGGCAATCAAAACAATAAAAAAACTACCTGGAGACACTATCAAGGGTCATATGAGTACAAAATCATCCTGGTTGAGGGCCATTGTAATCGTTACTTACAGGCAAAAAAGGATTTGCTGTACAGTTTTAGTAGCCACTTTTAAATGTTCTAATAATATTAAATTGAATAACAGAGGCTGACAATTAAGTGTTACAAAAATTCCAAAAATAGGGGCTGGAGTGATAGTACAGCGGGTAGGGCGTTTGCCTTGCACGTGGCCAACTCGGGTTCGATTCTCAGCATCCCATATGGTCCCCTGAGCACCACCAGGAGTAATTCCTGAGTGCATGAGCCAGGAGTAACCCCTGTGCATCACCAGGTATTACCCAAAAAGCAAAAAAAAAAAAAAAATCCAAAAATAATGAAGCATATTTTGAACTTACACAGATTGCAAATACGGTACTGCTTCAAATGTCCGCCTTTCAATAAACTGTATTTTATTGCAGGATAAGTCTCTAGGGAAAGGAAAGGGAAAATATTGCTTCAATTAACTACCAAGTATCTAATTTTTGGAATAACTAGTAGAAGTCAAAATAAATATTGAATGAGTAGATCTGAATGTTCCAGAATCCCTAACCTGGCTTTCCTTTTTCTCAACCACACATCTTCATGAATAAAATGTACGACTACTTGGTTCTAATATTGGAGTTAAACTTTTCTCGGAGCAGAGAATTGATGAGGTGATTTTATGTTCTAGAAGGGGTTGAGTTTTTTATCTTCATGTAAAATTACTATATTTAATATAGTTATTTCAATATTCAAATGAACAGTCTCATGTTTATATACCTTCCTGTGTAGCTGTTTTCTAGGCTAACAGAAACTGGCCTAGAAAAAATTAGCCTTTTTCATATAATATGAAAATCCTTTTAGACAGAACTTTGAACTAATTTAGAATTAAACTTTTCTATCATCATAGAAATTCAATTTTTGGTTCTACATTTTCTGAATATTCCATGAATTTCACTGCTTTAATTGTACAGTGGTGGAACAAAGAAAATCAGAGTACTGAACTTTGATTTGACTACAAGTGACTGTTCTGTATCTTTGAATTCTACTTAAGTTCTTTCACATATGACCAAGATGGGTATACCTATCTCCTAGCTCATCCCTCTTCTTCTCTTGCCTCCCTCCCTTCTTGGTCTCCTTCCTTCCTTGGCAGTTCTCAGGGCTTACTCCTGACTGCACACAGATCACTCTGAGGGTGCTCAAGGGATCTTGCATGGTGCTACGGATCAAACCTGGGTCACCCATGTGCAGAAGCAAGGCCCAGTATTTCCTTTTCCAACACACAATGCACACCGTCATGTATTAACCTTCTCAAGTACCAGCCTCACTTGGGAACGGATTGAAGACGCCTATTCTCAAACCAACCTACTCCAAATCAACTGAAGCAGGAACTGTGGTGGGGGATTTCACAGGCCCACCCAGTGATCTGCTACAGGCCTGAGTGCCCCAGCGCAGGTGGGCACGAGGAAGCTCAGCATGCTAGCCCTGGCTTACAACACCTGGGTCTATGTCCCTCCTCTTTCTCTTGGTCTTCTGAGAGCACTGAGGTGTTTTTCCTGTGTTTTACCTCTCTCCTGCTCTCTTTTTACGAGATTCTGTCCAAGATGTCTGTCTGACAATCGCCCAACATTTCCTACACTGGAATTTTTATCACCAGAACTCTCCTCGTGATAACCTCCTCTGCTCTTAATACTACTGCTATAGAATCCATCTGTATTAGCCTCGTATTTCCCATATAAATGTTCGTTTAAGTCATAGATCATTCGAAAATATGTTGACATAGGGTGTTAGAATGTTGTATTGCAAATCACAATGAGAAAACTAAATATTTTTTAAAATTCTAGGCTAATGGCATTCAAGTTCTTTATTTTCTTTATAATTCAGGTTTATTTTTATTTTATTTTTTAAATAGTTTTTTTATTAAACCAGCTTTTAAAAGTTTTGTAGAAAGGCCAGAAATTTAAAAATAATAATATTCTAGATTTTGCAGAGCATATTTTAATTTTTCTTTTTTTTTTTACAGAAAAACACAAATGTAGATTTTACAAACACATAGTTTTCTTTTGCTCTTCAAGCTGTGCTCTCCCATGTATCTCACTTGCTAGTCTCTATGTTCCTTTGCTTTTTCACTTTCACGCTGGAAAAGCTGGTGCTCCCTCTCCAACATCACCCTCCTTTCTCTCCTCCCACATCTTCCTAAGCACCTTACATTCAATAAATCTATGCTGCTTCACTGTTGCACCTCTTTAAATTCTTTCCTGCAAGGGACAGGCGGTGAACCCACATTGCCTGTGATGAGGCTGGGACTGCTTTCCCGTTCCTGCTGGTGCAAGCTGGCAGGGTGAGGGGCCCTGGAAATGTACTTTGGGGGAAGAATAAAACTAAAGAAGAAATTCTCTAGCCCCAAAGTAGCCCAAGAGCTTGTCCATCACATCATTTGAAATACAAATCCTCACATCTTTCTAAGTAAGTTTTAATAAAAGCTACCTTGCTTCACACACAAAATTAAAAAACAAAATCAATAAAACCATGGGCTGAAGCAATAGTACAGCTGGTGGGGCCTTTGCCTTGCATGCATCCCAAGAGCTCGACAATCACATCATTTGACATACAAATTCTGAGCTCTTTGAAGAGAAACTGAGATATCACCAGGATGCAAAATTCCAAGGTCCCACCCAGAAAAGGCTGGTCCCCCTCAGAGAAGAAGTTACACAAGAATCCATGAGATAACAAAGAGAATATCAACAGTGTAAGGCATTCCTGTGAAAACACCCAGATGAAGTTTAAGTATGCAAAATTCCAGGAAAAAACAACCCTTTTGGAAGGATTGAATAAAAGCACCTGGCTTGCTCTTCATGCCCTAAATATCTCACTTGTTTCTTTCTGTTTCTTTGCTTGCTTTTTTCCACTCTGGAGAGCCTGTGTTCTCTCTCGAACACAGACTTCTTACTTTCTCTCCCTCACATCTTTCTAAATAAGTTTAAATAAAAACTACCTTGCTTCATACACAAAATTAAAAAATAAATAAAACATGGGCAGGAGAGATAGTGGGGCGTTGGCCTTGCACTGCACGCAGCTGACCCGGGTTTGATCCCCAGCATCTCATATGGTCCCCCCAGCATTGCCAGGAGTAATTCCTGAGTGCAGAGCCAGGAGTACCCCCTGAGTATCGCTGAGTGTGATCCAAAAAGCAATAAATAATAAATAAATATTAAAAAATAAAAACGAACATATTTGCATAGATTTTTGTTTTTATTTAGTAGTGCTCAGAGTCTACTTCAGGGATATTACTGGGAGTCAGGGACTGGGGAGCCCAGAACTGTGTCCTGCTGGAAATCCAACCCGGGCCTCCTGTTGCAAAGCATCACACTCATCATTTGTGCAATCTCCTCAGCTGACAAAAACAATTCTTAAATTAATGGGCCAGGTAAAACTGGACCATGCATTGGATTTGATCCATAAAGGAACTCTATATGAACACGGAGGAGATGGTATATTAGCACTTAGGTTTCTATGGGTGGAGCAGATATAAGTACTTTTCATCTATTAGTAAAGTTTGAAAAACACTTTTGTGAAGCAAGATAGTTTACATCGAAAGAAACTTTCTTAGAAAGATGTGGGGGGGTGGGAAAGAGAAAGAATGTGTTCATGAGATAACACGGCTTCTCAGAGCAGAAAAAGCAGACAGAGAGACATGAGGACAAGTAAGCAAATTACATGATCCAGGGAGAACATGGGCTTGAAGAGTAAGCCTAAAGTTTTTTTTTTCATATATGTCCATATATATATATGATGCAGGCAGGTAGATAGGGAAAGGCCCTTTGCAATGAAACAAAGTTTCATGGAAGAAGAATTCTAGGAATGACCCACCTTGTGGACACAGAAAACAAAGGCCTGATAAGACCAGACCCTCAGGATATAGGCCTCCCCATGGAATTCCTCTTTTTGGACCTCCCTGGTAACCTCCTTAGCAACGGACTTTTACCTGGAAAGAGGCCTCACGTGGGGACAGGCTGGAGAAACCCTATAAAGGCCACCTTGAACAAAGGAAGGGCGCACATATGCTGCCTGAGCCCATGTGCTGCTTGCGCCCACGTGGCCGAGCACATGTGGTGTCTGAGCACATGTGTGGCCCGCATCTCCCCTCTTCAGATGTGTACTTTCATTCTTTCGTGTCTAACTTTACTCTCTCTCTCGCTTTCTCTCTCTCTCTCTCCCCCTCCGCACCTAAAAATCCTACAAATAAAATCCATTAACTTCACTCACTGCTTGTCTACTCCTGAAATTCCTTTCTGCGAGACCCCGCTTCACATAAGTCATCCGTGGGGCCCACCGACATCATATATATATATGCAAATGTAATTTAGTGTCAGAAATGACATGAGAGGTTTTTAATGCCATACTTACAAAACTACAAAATTTTATTGCTGGAAAAAAGGATGAAGATTAACTTGCACACCCCCTTGTTTTAAAAACAGAGCTAAAAATTCATAAATAAATGATTAACTTACAAGTACTTGAGGTTTGGAAGGGCTTCAAATGAATCCTTACGTAATTCTGCCAAAGAATTGTCACTGAGTATTCTGAAAAATGGAAAAATTATTTCTGGTCTAAAATGCAAAATAACTATGACTATTTATTACATAGGACTATTTTTTTTCTTAAATTTTTATTAGTGAAACACCATGAGGTACAGCTGTAGACTTACAAATTTCTGTGCTTGGGTTTCAGTTATACAATGATTGAATACCCATCCCTCCACCAGTGCCCATTCTCCACCACAACCAGTCCCAGTATCCCTCCCACCCCCCATCCTCCCATCCCACCCTACCTCTGTGGCAGGGCATCCCTTTTCTTATCTCTCTCCTTTTGAGTGCTGTGGTTTGCAAAAGAGACATTGAGTGGCAATCTTGTTCGGTCTATAGTCTACTCTCATCATGCATTTCCCATCCTGAGAAGAACCACCCGACGCCCTTTATTTGGTGCTCCCTTCTCTAGCTGAGCTGCCTTTTCCCCTAGCGTGTGCAGCTGTGCACAGGACTATTCTTACACATAATAATGGTGCTATCTAAATATCCCAATTCTTATTTAACTTAGGGATAGTGGCCTCTGTTTAAACTCTTTATTTTGTCCTCACCTAGATGCATCATGAACACGAACACAGCTATTGACTCTTCTCACCAAGTAACCTATATAAAGCATATTCTCTAGGTCACAAAATCTGTCAGATCCAAATTCTGTGTGACACCAGAAACACAGGGCTGCCACTCCCTGCTCTCTTCCCAAACATTACTCTGAGTCCCCCATGAAGAATGAAATTAAGTCTGGAAAGGAAGCCCTAAGAAACTTAACACCATTAAATTGTTTTGTTCTGGGAAGGAAAACGTGCACAAAGTGCACATGACATTTGGGCCCAGAGCAATAGTACAGTGGGGAGGGTTTTTGCCTTGCACGTGGCTTACCTGGGTCGGACCCGGCACCCCATAGATCCCCCACGTCTGCCAGGAGTCAGCCCATAACCAGTAGCTGTGCACCCCCCCCCCCCAACAAAAAAGAGCAGGCCAATAAAGCGAAGGCCCCAAGACACGTTCCTGACAAGGAACCCAGCTTCCCAGAGGCCCCAAGCGTGCCCCTACCAATCACACCCTCCTCTGACACACACCCCTGACTTGAACGAACATTTCTTTGTTATTTGGGGGGTTTCTTCGGTGCTTTGTTTTGTTGTGGGGCCACACCCAGAAGTGCTCAGTGGTTACTCCTGGCTCTTCGCTCAGGGATCATTCCTGGTGGTGCTCAAGGGACCATATGGGGTGCTCAAACTCAGGTCAGCAGTCTGCAAAGCTTAAAGCCTTTCCAGAGGCAGAGAATTTGATACTGGTCCATGGAATTGGGTTGCCTTGGAAGGCAGGACCAGAGGGCAGGAAAGCTATCCAAGATTTTCAAACAAAGACTTGAAATTCGGCTTCTCTTCCCTCCTTTACCTTATAAGGATCAAATGTAAAAGGGAGTCTCCACACGGTTTGCCCCCAGCCCAGGCCCCAGAACTGGAAAGTTTGTATAGTCTGTTGAGGACTCCCATGTTGGAAACCGATAATTGCTGCCAATTATGGTTTAGATTCCCTGCTCCAATGTCCCCTTTTGTTTAGAAAAATTTCACCTTTCAGAACTAAGGATAACCCCTGCGCACCACTGTGTGGCACCAGAGCAAAATTATTTTTAAAAAAATTCTACTTTTTTTAATGTTTAGAAAAGTATGCAAGCGATTTCCATTTGTAGACTTTCTCTCTAGGTCTGAGGTCATAGCCTGGATGAAAATACAATTATTTCCAACGCACTGAAACAGCCTTTGGTTTTGGTTTTAGATCACGCCTGGCTGTGCTCATGGCTTATTCCTGGCTCTGTGCTCAGGGATCACTCCTGGCAGGGCTGGAGGGCCCTATGGGGTGGTGGGGATTGAATCCTGGTAGGCCATATGCAAAGCAAAAACCCTACCCACAGTACTACCGCTCTGGCCCTAAAACGGTCATTTCTCATATTAGGAATGTCAACTGACAATGACAGATTAGCAAATTGTTCATTTGGCCTCTAATACAAACCACAGATATTTTTCACATCGCGTTTGTTATAGACATCTCAATCTTTTGGTTCTTCATCACAAATTTGAAGTTAGTTGTTAGACATACAGGTGGCTATTAGGTATGTCAATATGTGTTATTTAATAGCACTGTCACTGTCCTCCCACTGTTCATCGATTTGCTCAAGCAGGACCAGTAACATTGTGAGATTTGTTACTGTGTTTGGCATACCGAATACATCACGGGTAGCTTGCAAGGTTTTGCCGTGTGGGCGAGATACTCACTGTAGCTTGCCAGGCTCTCTGAGAGGGGCGGAGGAATCAAACTCGGTTGACCAGGTTGGCCCCATGCAAGGCAAACGCCCTACCCATTGTACTAACCATAAAATTAAAATATGGATGGGATCCCTTTTATTGATTCATCAGGGCAGCCCCAAAATAAAGAATGCCCAGAGGTGGATGGGCATGGAGAAACAATACTTTCATGAACTGGCACAACTATTTTGAGGTCAATTAAATTTTTATAACTATATACTCTTCAGCCCAACAAATCCATCTCTAAATATCTAATTAACAGACCTATCTGCCCATATTCACAAGGCCCTGTGCTGCGGTAATACATGTGACCAAAAAAAATCAAAGCATCTTTCAATAGAATTATTATGAAACAGGATTTTAAATAGATGGGGTAAACCTCTATGCACCATAAAGGAAAGAAGTCTAAAGCAAAATAAAGTGAAAGTATCAAGTGGTAGCTGTTATATTTATAGAAAAAACAAATCAGAAGATTTACTTTCGCATTATGGATCATTTAAAAATTTTTAATGAAGAATGTAATCATGTACCTGTGAGTCGAGAGCATCAGCAGCCTGATGGCACCTTCAGACTTCCAGATACCCCAAAATTGCTGCTGTGCCTTTGGCCAGACCCCAAAAACTTGGGGCAAAGTTTACCAAGAAAGTAAACTGACAAAAGTTAGGTATGTTTCCCACATACCTACAAACCACCTCCGACTCAGCTATATAATTGGAGGCATGGCCTCTCTGGTTTCTGATTGAACTGCTTAATGGCCATGATCCCAGAGATTCAGAAGCAAATCTTGAAACCCAGCAGCTTTTGGCAGAAATGCGTCTGGTCCCTGCAGTAGGTTACCAGTGCTGGGCTAACCCAGGTGGGAATAGGTTTCGTGCCTTGGCCTGTTCCCCCTGTTGGCCCAGTGGCGACCATCGTTCAGAGGCCACTGGACAGTCAGGTTTGGGCCCGCAGTGACGAGACATGCAGGGCCTCACAGAATGGGGGTGGAGCCGGTCTGTCCTCCCCACCCCAACGAGACCCCAAGTCATCGCCCACGAACGGCCTCTCTGGCTCCTGATCAAGCTGCTTAACAGCCTTGATCCCAGAGACTCAGAAACAAATCTCAAAACTCAGTGGCTTTTGGCAGAAATGCGTCCAGACTCCGCAGTAGGTTACTGTCGCCGGGCCACGCCAGGGGGGAAAGGGTGTTGTCCCTCCGCCTGCGCCCCCTTGGCAGCTCAGTGGCCATCATCCTCCAGAGGCCATTAGACAGTCAGGTCTGGGCCTGCAGCGACAAAACTTGTTGGGCCTCACAGGATGGGGGTGGAGCGGGTCCTAGTCTCCCCGTCCCAATGAGACCCCAAGTCATCACCCAAGAACGGCCTCTCTGGCTCCTGATCAAGCTGCTCAACGGCCATGATCCCAGAGACCCAGGAGCAAATCTCAAAACCCGGTGGCTTTTGGCAGAAATCCCTCCAGATTTAAGTGTTAAAATTTTGAAATTGCAAAATCACATGACCCTACTACAGCCACGCAACATCATATGTTATTCATAACCAGCAATAGAACACAAATTGTCTACTGCTGCCTTTTCAACAGATCTGAGTGTTGGGGTAAAATCTCAAATAATAATGGTGGGTCTGGTGTTGAAATATTGAATGTGATCAAAGTAGAGAGAGAGTAATGTGGAAATCATCTGCCCCACAGGTAGGGGGAGGGTATGGGAGGGGGGTATACTGGGGTTTTTTGTGATGGAGAATGGGCACTGGTGAAGGTACAAGTGTGTTTCATTGTATGACAGAGACTTAGACCTGAAAGCTTTGTAACTGCTCTCATGGTGATTCAATAAATAAAATTATAAAAAATGAAAAAAAGTAAGATGGAGTTCTAATCAGTGGCTAAATAAATAGCAGTACTCCTACATAAAAAAGAAAGAAAGAAAGAAAGAAAGAAAGAAAGAAAGAAAGGAAGAAAGAAAGAAAGTAATCATGTTGGCTTGCTACTCAAGCCAAGGTTCTCCTGTGAACACATTTCCTGTTTGCTCATCTCTGTGTGCTCTCTCTAGAACTTCTCTTTTTCTCCTCTCACATCTTTCTAAAATAAGTTCAATAAAAACCATCTACATCACCAAAATATATACCTATATGTATATGTGCGTGTGTGTATACAATTAACTCTACCAGTTATGGAATGGAAAACAAAAAGACTTTTAACGTAAGAGCTTGGTAAACCAAAATTTTTTAAAGAAGTAAACTATTATAACTAAGAGAGGTTGTTTTGGGACATGAGGGCGAAATAGCTTCTATGTGGTGTTGATCTTAAAATTGTATACTACGGAGGATTTTATGGTGCAATTATTTTTTAATATTCATATTTGGAGAGAATATACTCACAGTTTCTCAACCCATGGGTATGCCTTCCATGTATTTCCATCAATGGAAGAAATAGAGTTTCCTTGGAAATCTCTGTGAAGAAACACAGTTCACAGATTTGAACAGGTAGGAAAAGAATGAACAGAATAAGTAAAAGAATCATGGAAACACAGAATACTCCAGCTTATCTCCATAGCTATGAGTTTCCCATTATGCCCAACTAAAGACATGATGTGGGGTGACTGGTCAAACAATGAAATATCTCACAATCTGAACTTCCTAATTCCTGGAGTAGATAAATACTGCCAGCTAATTAGCCTGTAAGCCATTTTTCTAAACTCACACCTATTGTAACTCCTACTGCAAATCAATGGAGAAAATTATAATTTCATAATTATCATATAAAGAAAAATGAACAAAATTATCAGCAAATAAATATTTTAAAGCATTGCCAGGGAACACCAAAGGTTTAAGTCAATGCTCTCTGTTGAAATTTCAAGATAGTAGAAATTTCTAGATAGAGACTACGGAAATTAGAAAGTGAGGGGGGACTAGTGAGGAGAGATATATTCAACGTGCCTCAGGAAAAGAACAAATCACAAAGAACTACCTTCATTGGGGGTGGCGAGGAATGCACAGGAAAGAGAGTAGAAGGAAACCCAAGATGGTAACAGAAGTTACCACGCGGCAGTCAAATAGCTGGTAGAGTGGGAAAGTGGGATTTTTGCACCTTATCCTGTTTACTTTACTGACCTATTGTAACAAAGAGAATATGTTCATGAATTTACACATGTATAGACGCATGAAGTTGGTGGAGGGGGGGATGGTGCTCAGGACTTGCCCCTGGCTCCACGCTCAGGGTCAATAATTTTTCATTGAACTGCTGGCAGTGATGGAGGGGGACCCTATGAGGTGTCCGGGATTGAACCTGGGTTGGCCACATGCAAGGCAAGAGCCCTACCCACTGTCCTAGGACTCTGGCTCCCTGAGTTCAGTTTTAAACACTAACTCTGTGGATCACTTTGAATCTAGTTTTGTCAACTTCCCTCAGCAACATGTGTATATAAGCTGCAAATGTGTACATAATCCAAATATAAACCTAATCAGTTTACATACACAGTTTTCAGGGTGAAAATGTTGAAACAGAAACCTATCCCACCAACCTAGTGAACATTTCCACTCAAGACTTCTGGATGCTTTATGATGTCTAAGCCCCAAGTTGAGGGATATGTTTAAGGAGGCACAGATTCGTAACTGTTTCATATTACAAGCATATTACATATCTCCAAACACAAAAATCATACCAAACATGCACAGCTTTTTATATGCCCAGCACATAAATAATTTTTGATCCAAAAAAATCAACCTCTAATTCCCAGCTAAAGTTGCTCTGTGTCAGCTCTCTGCAGCTTTCCCCAACTGACAAGATTCTGTACATTTCTGTGCCTCTGTTGGTGCTTGGTGACACGCTGCCTTTCCTTTTTGTGTATTCCCTTTCTCCCCAATACCATCATGTTTAAGAGCCGATGACATATTGTTGTGGCTAGGTTGAGGGAAATGGGTGCTTTATATGGAAAGTCGATGTAAACAACTGTAATTCTGAAATGAGAGATTAATGAATACAGACAGCATTCATGTGTATGCTAGTTGCCTGATGTAAGTATATAGTTTCACGGGGAGGCCACACCCGGCAATACTCAGGTGTGACTCCAGGCTCTGCACTCAGGAATCACTGATAGTGGTGCTCAGGGGACCATATGGGATGCCGGGGATCAGAACTAGGTGGAACACGTGCAAGGCAAATGCCCTACCTACTGTACTATCACTCTGGCCCAAAGTATTTACATAGATTTCATAGTATTACTTTTGTTGCAATTGGAGCTGGTTAGATCTCACAGTCAAGCCTTCTCCACCACCTTGGCCTCATCTCTATAGGGATTCATGTTAAACTTGTTTCAAGGTACTAACTTCATAAGTATCAAAATCAACAAGTATCACAACAATATTAGGAGGTGATAACTTACCATTATCCCCACCTCAAGAAAAGGGAACTGAGTCACAGAGCTAAATAACTTGTCCAAGGTAACAAAGCTAACAAATGCAAACTCGGGCAATCTGGCTCCAGAATTCATGTCCATAAGCACAAGATTGTGGCACCAGCAATAAAAGATAAGGAGGACAAACTATTTTTTTTTAAAAAAAGGCTGTAGCACAAAGAAAACAAAGGTTAAGGAATTAAATGAGTGGATGATGGGATGAAGGATAGGCTGATGGTGAGATAAAAATAGAGAAGGAAAAAGGGTACGGACGTTTATAACCAAAAGACTAGAGAAGCAGCAGCAACAGATAAGGAGAATGAGGATATCTTTTGACTAACAAAAGATAAAAAATGGAAATCATTTAACGTGGGCAGGGGGATGAGGCAGACACAGGGAGACATTGAAGAAAAGGCTTGCTATGTCAATAGGCAGAATGCAGAGAACAGAGGAAAGGGGATTCTTACAGGACGGTGAAGGTGTTGGTGTTGGGCCCTGGCACAGGCACTCTATGGAGCCTCTTCTCTGGACTGAGACCGGAGCAGGAGAGGGTCTTATCTGTGCAGGTACAGAGCTCACATATGTTAAAGGTCATGGAGACATTCTGTTCCAGTTGCTCAGGGAAATCTACGTGTGCCTTTTCTGAAGCATGTCGTACAGCAGGAAGGGCAGAAGAGTGTGTCAGAGAAGAATGATATGTTGTCGATGTTTCTGGTTGTGGAGTTGCTTCATTTGGAGTCTGAGCTGAGACCTCCTGCTGCTCGGGAGAAGGCTGACGCTCATTACTGACCTCTGCAAACATGTCAATTGTCATGTCTGCAAGTGTTTCCCTCGCACTTGGAACATTGAAGGGTTGAGCCTCATTCTTACTTGGTGATGACACATATTCAGGATGGTCTGATGGTTTACCTACAAGCTCTCGAGGCCATGGCTCTCGAGGCCACGTTGACACCTCATGGACCAAAGATGATACGGGCTCAACTTTCTTCAAACTCTGACCTGACTCTAAAGGCTGAGCTTCCACCTCCTGAGGCACTGAAGATCCTCTCTCCTCGGAAGCCAATGTAGGCTGAACTAGGGTTTCTGGCAGGACTGAAGCAGTATCACCCTTTTCAGGGGTACTTGACAGCAAATCTGAGTCTGAAACTACCACAGGTTTTGATTCCTCGGGAGATCCTAGAAGTGCAGCTGGGCTCTGTTGTGTGCTTGCTGAAAGTTCAGCTTCCAGGGCCTTAAAGGGAAGCTGTTCTAGCTCTTCAAAGGTTTCTGGATGCTGAGGCTGGGGTGAAAAGGATCCAGTCTCGTGACGAATCTGTGGATGTTTCTCTGAATCTCCCACCAAAGGTTGACTCCCCTCAGGATAAAAGGTATCCATACTGGAATCGAAGTAATCCTCCTGCATTGGTTGTGGTCGACGACGAGGTCTCCTAGATTTCCTGCGAGTTGGAACAATTTCAGCAACATGGTGCCCGCCAATTTGATCCAAAAGGAAGGCGGGGAGTTTTGAAATCCGGGGCTGAAGGGTAGGGGGTGATTCAGCGGCAGGATCAGGGGAAGATGAAAGCCAGGGATTGGGGAGCCCTGGGGGGCTGGGGGCCAGGGGGACTGGGGGTAGGACTCTCCCCCGGAGAGGAGCGCCCTGCAGATGGGTGGAGAGGTAAAGAATTATAAATATGTTTAATCCCACATTCATGGCTAAGGAAGTGTAGTCTTCCTGAGCCTGAGGATTAAGGCAGCTGGGCACTGCTCCTGCATGCCCTTATCAACCACGCCCTTGACAACCACAGGCCCTTGACAACCGGGGGCCCCACCCCCTCAGCACCTTTATGAGCCTTTAAGCAACCTTTATTGGATCTAAAGCCAGCAAGACCCAGGCTTTCCTTCTTCCCCCAAGGCACCAAACACATCCAATCAGGTCCTCTACCCCACCCCCCTTGCCTCCCCTCCCACTCTTGCCACCCAACAGGACTGGGACTGGGCGGAGCCCCGAGGGTAGGGGAGGAACAGCTTGTCCCCAGACAGGGAACACTGGTGAATTCAACAGCACTAATCCAGCTGTGGTGGTCTTGGTGCTTCCTCCTCACTACTGAAATCCAAGAGACATTCTTCCTCCCCTTGGCCATCCTGCTTCCAAGAAAGGCAGTTGACCTGCAAAAGGAGCACTACTTCGGGTGGGTGGGGGTTCACAAATGTTGTCATTTCCTTTAAGCTCTTAGTCTCTCTGATTATTTATCACTCTCCTAGAGAGGGGATAGCACGGAATCAGGGACACAACATTTTCTGAAGCAGGGCTCTGGGGCCAGAAACAGTTGATTCTGGAAGACCGTTCTTAAACTGAATGAACAGCCATATGCGCTCCTTTACACCGGCCTGGGGAAATCCCCCTTTCTTGCATGGAACTCAACATAAATTCACGGAGAAAAAGGAGCAAGCTCCTTTCTAGAGGGCTGCCCTTCTAGCACTCGGAGGGAACACTTAAGATGTTCACGTCAGAAAGTGACAAGGCTCTCTTGCAATACTGTAACTAGTACCCATTTTACTTTCTTCACAGTCCTTCTTCTCATCCATATCAGTTCTTATTATCTCACACTTCCAGAATATAAATTCCATGAGAAGGGGCTTCTTCCCACTCTCTAGTTGAGTAGAGAGCCCCGAATGGAGTTGGTTCCAAGAGTAGCCTCATTTAGGGATGGATGTTCGTTTTCTGAATTCTTTGGCATTAGTACGAAATGTCTTCTCACCTTTCTTAGTAAGGTGGACATTGTTGTCTCTTTGGGGGCCACACCTGGAGGTGTTTGACGCTGTACCTGACAGTGCTCAGGAGGCCATGCAGTGGCAGGTATCAAACCCAGGTCTCCCTCATCACAGTCCATGCTCCAGCCTGATGAACTATGTCTCAGGCTCCTAAGCTAAGTCTTTTAAGACCCAATTGTAGGTGTTGGAAGTTTTCTTGGTGGGTTTGATTTAAACTATTTAAAAAATTTCTTTGCAGGACTAGATCAATAGTTCAAAAGATTGAGCGCATGCTTTGCACAAGAAAGGTTTGAATTTGATCCCTACCACCACCTGGTCCCTCGAGCACTTCCACAAGTGATTATAACAACGAGCCAGGCTGGGTAATTCCTGAGCGCCACCAAGTGTGAATCCCGCTACCTTACCCACAAATAAAATTTATTTTACAAAGGAAAAAAACAGATTTTCAACAAGAGGAACAGAATCACCTTTTCTCTTTTTATCTTCCCCTAACTCCCTAACTTTGGAAATAAATTTTCTGACTTTGAGCCATGTTAATTACATATATCCAACTCCAAATTTGTTCCCAATGATATTAAACACATTTTGCCACCCCCCAGCATCCCTAGAATACACACATAGTGTATTCATATGTTCTCCTGGAAATTAACAAGTTAATTCCTAATTTGGAATACTATGCAATTGTTGAACAGAAAGGTTCTTTCATAAAATATTTCATCACTGATCACTGATCACTGTCCTCCTGTTGTTCATCGATTTGCTCGAGCGGGCCCAGTAACGTCTCCATTGGAGACTTTTGTTGTTACTGTGTTTGGCATATTGAATACGTCATGGGTAGCTTGCCAGGCTCTGCCGTGCGGGCGAGATACTCTCGGTAGCTTGCCGGGCTCTCCGAGAGGGGCGGAGGAATCGAACTCGGGTTGCCATGTTGGCTGCATGCAAGGCAAACGCCTTACCGCTGTGCTATCGCTCCAGCCCAGGAACAGAATTTTAGGGACTAACAGGATAAGATCATTTGTTTGGATGGAAAAACTCAAAGCGAAAGGTCAGAAATGCCACTCAAATTGGGTTTTTGATGCTTATTATTTACTATAGGGGGAAGGTTCTGGTTATATACATCAGTGCTCAGGAATCACTGTTGGGAGCGCTAGGGGGTATATGTGTGGTGCCAGGAATCAAACCAGGATCGGTTGTATGCAAGGCAAGCACCTTAGCAGCACCTTCCGCCCTGTACTCTCTTTCTCCAACCTTGTTTTTGATGCTGAGTCAGATCCTTCCCAGGTGCTGAACCAGCAATGCCATTCCCCCAGTCCCAGGCTTAGGAAACCAGCTTATATCAAATTTTATACTTCCAAAGTAAGGGAACTACATCCATGGAGGTGGAAGGGCTCCTCCAGACAAACTACTAGAACTGAGGTTAGCACCTACAAAGTTTCATACCAATACATCTTCAGATCAAACCAACGAACTCAAACCTAAGCCATGGATTTTAGTGGCAGACCTAATGGTAAGCAGAAGTAAATAATGTGTGAACAAAACAACACAATTTCTGTTTAAACCACATTCCAATCAGAACTGTGGATCCACATATCAGCCTTCAAGTTGATTCATTCATTTAACTCGTTAGCACCATTCTGTAGTCGAGCAGGGATGTAGCTTGAAGAAAGCAAACAATTCATACTGCATTGCATCAAAATCCAGAAATGCAGAACAATGGAGAGAAAAGCTTACTTCTGAATGCTTCCCAAACACTATCTTCCTGCTACTTACCTTTTAACCTGTAAAATTCAGATAAGAGGTATTTAAGTGCAAAATATTGTCACTGAGATCCAAAACAGGAAAAGTTTATAATGTGGCCCATTTTTATAAACCTCATTTTAAAATTTTACATCTGATTTATAAAAGGGCCTGTCTTGGATTTATCACCCATAATAATTTGAAAACAGAGTTTATATTTCTTCTTCAGATATAGCAAGACATTGACTTTAAGGATCTTTTTTGAAGAAGGTCCAATTTATCAACTCAGAAATTACACAAAACATACTCAAATGAGCTTTTCTTTTTTAACAAGAAAAGGCACACTCCATTTCATTACAAGGATCATGGTAGGAAAAAACAAAATCAATGGGAACAGGAAACAAACCCAAGTTTTTATGGTTTGTGGAACTTAAAAGTATTATTCATGTTTTCATTCTGCTCCGCAAATCTTAAAAATAATCAATTTATCTCTTGGTTCTTAAGAACAAGGTAACCATCAAAAAAAGAGAAAAATCAGCAAACACTACATGCAAACACCAGCAGGGTGATGAGAAACCAATATATTCATGCCTTATAGAGAGCAAGATGAAAACAGGAGGCTTTGGAAATGGCAGAATAAATTTTACCGAGACCTGTTCAAGGAACACCAAAAAAACCAAACCTAACCAATCGGCTTAACAGAAAGATATTTCATATTTCATATAAATATTTCATACAAGATATATATGAGATGCTGAGCTCTAGATATGACATCATACTTGAAAAAAAATGTAACTTTTCAAATGCTGTAACATAATCGTACTTAAGGTCCCAAATCCCTAGATCCTGTTTAAGAGGAGTTCAAAAAGGTATTTCTCTGACAGAACTCAGAGGGCACTCAGAACTCTCCAAATTTCAAAGAAGGCTTTAGAACCAATGGCTAGGACTTCAGGGAAACTTCAGAAATTCTCTGAACTAAAGCTTGAGAGTTTCATATTTTTCTGGGGATGGTAGAATTGCCTACACATGCTAAACACTTCTAAAATCTGCTCATTATTTTGAATTGCTACCATTGTGTATATGTCATCCTTGAGTTTTTCTTTCATGTACTTGAACTAAATCATGAAGCTCTTCGGTTCTGGCATCAGTGAGCTCCTCAAAAGGCCGATATTCCACGGCTACGTTACCACTTTCTGAAATAAAGTTAACAAGGATCAATTCAAACTTATTGGCTAAAATGTTCTCTCTATGAAGGTAGTACACAGTGATAGTGGGTGTGTATTTCCTTTATACATCCAATAATTTTATTTCTAACGCATAAAATAAGAGCATTTTCCTTGTCAATGCAGACATTAAGTTTGGTTCCTTTTGCCTCTCTGTTTTGAGGCCATTCTCAAAGGTGCTCAGGGATTATACCCACTTAGTACTTGGAGTCATTCCTGGCAATGCTGTGCTGAGCTGGAACTGAAACCTGCTTCCTGCATGCCAAGAATGTGCTCAGCCTGTTGAGCTATCTCTCCAACCCACTGCTTCTTTCATTTCTTTTTATTTGGGGTTTGCAGATCCTACCCTCTGGTACTCAGGGACTGTTCCTGGCTCTGTGCTCCCTGATGGTACTAGAGGGGACCATATGCCATGCCAGGGATATGCAAGGCTCTGGTACCATCTTCAAAACCCCCACTGGTTCTCAAAAGTTATTATAGTTGATAGAAATTTTACCAGTTGACCACAGAAGTCACTTTTGCTAGAAAATTGCCCAGACTGCAAGGCTGAAGTCAACCCAGGAGCTACTCGTGTAATAAATAAGGTCTCTGACAACTGAAAATTCCTTTCTCTAAGACTGCAGGGCTATAAAGCAAGGAAAGCAATTCTGTTTGTGGACTCTCTACGGATTATTCACTTTCCTTTGGG